GTTCTTTTTAGTCCAATTTTGGAGAGCTTGGTTGGAACAGTTGCAAATCAGAGGAGAATTTCGCAAATCTAGGTACTGTAGGTTAGTTAGATTTTCTAGCAGTTTCACGTCCAGAGTCTGCAGAGCGTTGTGGTTGAGATGCAGTACTTTTAAAGCTGTGAGATTACCGAATACGTCTGTTGAGAAGGACTCAATGCCCATGTTCTCAACAAGTAGCGCTTCCAACTTGTGGAGGTTCTTGAAAATACCTGGTATGAGCTTCGTCACACCAACACCTGAGTTAGTTAGTGTTAGAAATGTTAAGTTTTTCAAGTCGTCAAATATGTCAGCACTGAAATAATTGATAAAGTTGTTTTTAAGGTATAGACTTTTCAGGGAGGTAAGGCCTCGAAAAAATGCCTGAGGTAAGAAGTTTATGCCATATGGCAGCTGTCCGTCTAATTTAAGGTCAATAAGTTTTGTTAAATTTTCAAATGGAGAGCGTCTCTCTATTTTGGAAAAGTGGATAGAATTACCTTGTAGATCTAGCACTTGTAGCGTGCCAGAAAGCTTTCCAAGCCGTTGACTGTCGATTTCTTTGAGACGGTTGCGGTCTAAGTAAAGATTGATCAAGCTGTCCAGCCCATTAAATGCTTTGTCCTCAAAGTGTGTTATCTTGTTCCCACCTAAATCTAAAATGTTCAGATTTCTGAGAGAGTGGAAGGTGTTTTTGAAGATGACAGCAATCTGATTATTACGCAAGATTAACCTCTTAAGGCTGTGAAGGTCTTCAAAGCTCTGAGCATAGATATCGCTCAGGAGATTGTTGTCCAAACGGAGAAAAACAAGGTCTCTGAGTCCACTCAGTGCTTTTGGATCCATATAGGCAATTATGTTTATGTTGAGCTGAAGCTTTGTTAGTTTGGGCACGTGACTGAAAGCAAAGGCGTTGACTTCTAGAATGCGATTGTAGCGGTAACTCAGCTCTCTCAGGCTGGGAAAACTTAGGTTGCTAATGTTGCAGGTTAGTAGTTTGGTTAGATGGTTATTTTCAACTCTGAGCTTCTCCACAAGTTTTTGTCCTGTGAGGAACTCCAAACAACTAACGCTCTTCATGTCATTATGAGAGAGGTCCAAGAGATCGGTAATATTTGGGCAAGAGGAAAATGCACTACTTTTCAGTATTTGTATAGAATTGCTCTGAAGGACCATTTGTTTCATATGTTTTTTTGGATAATGAGAAAGTTGTTTACAAAGTGATTCGGGGGTTTTTAATCCAAAACCAGAGAAATCTATGTGCCAGGGCGGCACCTTTATGCGTGTGCTGTTGAGAAGTTTTATCACAGAGACACTTGTGGACCTCAAGCGCAGGTATGTGATGCTGCCCAGGTTCAGATCATTGAAAGCGCTTGTTGGAAGGAAATTGTTATAGGAGAGATCCAACACTTTAACACTACTTAGAAACTCCTTGCTGTTTCCCAGCGTCATCAGTTTATTGTTACCAATATAAAGGGTAGCAAGTGATTGTGGAAGACTGGCCGAGTGATTCAAATGGGTTAGACTGTTGAAGGAAAGGTCCAGTTTCCTCAGTGCTGACAGTTTACTTATGGATTGCACCACTTCTGAGAAGCTGACTAGCTGGTTCCTATGTAGGTCCAGAGTGTTTAAGTTGGTCAAATCGGAAAAGACGTCCAAAGAGAGATTCTTGAGTCTGTTGTCAGCGAGAAACAATTCAGTGAGGTTATAAAGACCACGGAAGAGATAAGGACCTAAATAGGATATGCTATTGGTAGACAAGTTCAAGGTTCGAAGGTTCGTCAGATTAACAAAGGCGTCGTTGCTGATGGTCCCTACATAGTTATTGCTTAATACCAGAACTTCAAGCTTTGGCAGGTGACTGAAGCTTTCTGAAGGAATGTGTGAGAATTTGCAGAAACTGATTGTTACATTGGTTGCGGAGAGTAGCAAATCATCCACTATGTCCTCAACTGACTGTGTTTGGCGATTAGTGCATTTGAAGATTGTGTGGTTTGAGTTTGCACTTTCGATACAGTGCCTGAAGCTGTAAGTCATGCCCAGCTGAAGGAATGTGGCCAATATTGCCACTGAGATTAGTTCACGGTACATTTGTGGCACTGTATTCCTGTTCTCTAAGATTGGAAGTTCCACAGGTCACTTGGCTTGATGAAGATGAAACTTTCCAAAGAGTCTTGTTAGAATTGGCTTTGGATGTGCATTATGTCCCTGGAAAGAAGGGAAGAAAGGAAAGAAAAAATGGTTATTCAGTTTTAATTGCTCAAAACCTTCTGGATAATTTCCTAGTGCCTGCATTTACTTGATTAAAACAAAGCACACAGCTAAAAAAGAATTTATGGCCATGGTGTTTTTGTTAGTGATGAACTGATGTGGGAATTTGGGCCTGTGCCAGTATCCGACCCGTTGGGCAGCCACTTTAGACAGCAGGGCCGATGTGCCGAATTCTGACTCTGCCCCTTGTGTAGCCAAGTAGACCCCTGATTTCTTGCTGTTTCTTTTCACGTAGCACACAAGATGGGCAGTCAAATTTCAGCACAACACATGTTGTCTATAATGGCTGCCCACTGCGTTTGGCTCCACAGTGAAATTTTGTTCATTTTTAAAGTTCACAGTAAGTCATATTGTGTTCCAAACCACATTGACACCTCTGCACAACCTTATTGAAGACCTGCATGGGGTTTGAGTGAGCTGAGAGAAGCTTTGAGGATGTATTTGCCAAAAAGATATGGGTGACTATTGACTTCTAGTGTTTGTTAGCAGTGGTAGCCTCACAGCTCCAGCGTGAAACAAAAGTAGCAAGTTTGCACTCCAAACATGCCTCAGCTGATTGACTGCATCTGGGGTTAGTGGTGAATTGTGTCAATTTGATTTTTTGACAAACTATATAGATATAGATCTTCATGTTTTAGGCAATCACTAAAACAACCCGACCAATAGATACAGCTCCCTTATGCTAAACCAGTGTTAGACGTTCTGTATTTTTTTGTTTTATTTTTATTTAGGAAAATAAACTAATTTCTCTTTGGGATATTTAAATGCTATGTGTTTAATTGTACAAGTACTGACGGCCCTTAAATTAGTTCTAAATATAATTCTAACCAACTTGGGCTAGGTGAAAGCACAAAAACTGTCCAAGCTACCAATTTAAAAAAAGCCCAAAAAAGCTAAACAAGTAATCAGTAAACAAGTTCAGAAAAAACAGAAATATTGAATAATAAATAGCAGGAATAACGGCTCAGAACAGATAAGGGAAGTGGTCACAAGACTTCACCAAAAACAGAAAAAAACAGGAAGGATTGATGTTGACCGAACTTCATAATGAGCAGTAGGTGAGCGGGTAGCTCTGATGGTGTCAGTGTTGATGGTGTTAGTTAAGAGAGACTTGACGCACACTCTCTACTTCTGTTATTCCCCTTCCTTTCCTAAATGAAAGTGAAGGGTTTTGTTCCAGAACACGTTAAACGCTACTTTCATGAATTTTCTTTTTTTTTTTTCATTATAAATGTTGTTGGGAATGAGTTTTAGGCTGGCTTTACACATTGAAACTTTCATGCAACTTCAGTTGCTTGAATTCTACATGAAGCTAAGTTGCTTTGCATAAAATGTCCTGTCACTCATTTGAAACTTGGCTGCAACAGTCGTAAGCGTCTCAAGTTTCATGAAATAGGCAATCAAATGCACAGCAGTTGCACCTGTTATGCTCATGCTGTGTTCTAAATCACATTGACAAGTCGACAAGAGCAGACTGAGATGTTTTGAAGATGAAGATTTGTGGAAAAGATTTGGGTGACTATTGACTTCTAGTGTTTGTTAGCAATGTTAGCCTCATAGCTCCAGCACTAAAGTTTCAAAATTTGTACTCCAAACATGTCTCGGCTGATTGACTACTTCTGGGGTAAGCGGAAAACTGTTAAACAAAACTTCATGAGCTTTAGGCTGGCTTTACATGGTAAAACCTTCACACAACTGTAGTTGCTTGAAACCTAAATTGCTTTGCATAATGTAAAGGGTCACTCACTTGAACCTTAGTCACAAAAGCTGCAAGCGTCTCAAGGTTCATGAAACCAACAATTTTCAAAATGCAACAACGAAAGAGCCATACAGTTACACTGCTGAAGGTTTGCATAATGGAAGAATGGCAAAAAAGAAATATGTTTGTTAAGTGTTGTAAAAAGAAAGGTGATGTAATAGTGGTAAACATGCACCTCTATCAAATGTTTTGGAACACACCGCAGGCATCAAATTTGGGACAAGCATGTAAAAACCAGTAAAGTTAAAAATAAAGATATCTTTGTACAATTTTCTATACCACCTTTTTTGGAACTGTACTAGTTCTAAACTGTTTTAGAAGTAAGTGTATATATTAGATAGATATATTAGATAACTAAATAATAATAAAGACAAATAAACATAAATACAGTCAAATTAGAAGAACACAGGTTTGGCTAGGGTAACCAGCACCTCGTTTAATTTAATGAAATACTGATTAAATAAAGTAGGTATTAGATGGTAACTGTAAATTCTGGACTTCTTTGAGGAAAGCTTAGGAAATGGTTAAGCTCACAATGTATTGTTTATTTATTTGCTTTTTTTCTATTTGTATGTTTTGATTAACAAATAAAAGCTTACTGCAAATACAAATAGCTTTACATATCATTTTCTCATGACATACATAAGCCAGAATATCTAATATTATACACTGAATTGCAAAGAAGTGTTTAGTTTAGCAGTTCTTGTGCTGGCTAGCTAGATTTGAAAACTGTAAACCTTTTCCTTACCTTTTTTAAACGCTATCACGGTTGCAAATCTTGTAGTCAGAAATGCTGCGTCTGTCTAGGTTTGTCTCTCCTTGATTATGTCAGCTCTTCTAGTTCAATAAAACATTCTTTTCACGAGAACAGAAAGAGGAATTAAGATAGGGATCAGGGTTTTTTCTCATGCAAACTCTGCATGGCCCTGTCTCTGATAGTCTTGCACACCGAGAGTACACTTAAACATTTTATTGAGATTTAAATGGCTAAATATGCATCATGTGACACTTAATACATTCATAATAACACAATACTAATAATACATGAATAACAAGTGCTCTAAAATGTACTATTGCAAGTGGCAAAAGAAGACTTCCAATTTCATTCTTTATACTGCTTTACGTGGTGAGACTTTCACACAACACTAGCTTTTATGGAGCTAAATGTTGATTATTTTCAATATCTGCAAACTGCAAAATTTCAAGCTTGAAACAGCTTTTATGAAGTAGCCAATCAAAATGGAGACACATAATAATGTAGCATTTTGACTGAAATAATGTTGCATATTTGCTGGGAGCCTGTTAGCATAAAGTAGGAAAAAATATCACCCTGGGCACCCCAGTGGGCCACTAGGGAGTGACGTCCCATATAAATAAAAATAATGTGAGGGAACAAGATCCTATTGTGTGGCTATGCTTTAGGATCTTGTTTCCACGCCTTATTAAGTCATGGCCACGACTTAATTATCTCGTTCCCATGCAGTAATATGGCATGGCCACGCATTATTTTTATTTGTATAGGATGTCACCAACGTGGCTCCGTACGCCACAGCAATTCCAAACATGAAAATGTTGTTATAATTATTTGCAAAAAAAATAAAGATATTTATATCAAGCTCGTTGATTGGTCTCCCAACATGCTAGCTAGGTATGTTTATATTTTCTATGCAACGTTTCACTTGTTTGTGGGCCGCAACTTGTAAAAGGTCGAGAACCCTAGCTGTAGACATTCCAGAATTTCAAGATATGTAACTGGCTGTGAATGTTAGCCGTAGTCTAGCCAGGTTCCGGTTAGTTGTTAGGAATGGACAACACCATAAAACTGATACATACAAGCTCAAACATATGTTAACGTCTGGAACAAACTTCTAATAAAACGCATAGAATGGCCAAGAGTGTTAGCTGAGCCAACAGTGTTAGCTTAGCACTATAAGAAATCCCTTAGGGCGGCTGTAAATATGCATTATCATAAAGGTGTTTTCATTTTTTGTCCAACTCTTGACATTTATAGCACATACATATAGCCACATGAAGGCCTAGCAATACAATATATGAAAAATACTACCTGCTGATTTTGCTGCCTAGTGCAGTAAATGGATGTGCTGCATAGAGTTACTTGAATGGTTTCATCTGTGAAATCACACAAGAATTATGTTTCATGCAGTTCACATCCCACAACTAGTTGTGTGAAAGTTTCACCCTGCAAATCCAGCCTTACAGTATTCTTGGAGACTGCAACACCAATATCATTAGCACTGCAGTACTAAAATATGTCGATGACCAATTATTATCCATCCATAAATTAGTATATAGAGTCCTTGTCTTCATTGTGCAGCCATCAGTCCTCCTCCCTCTGTACTTTTGACCCATCAGCATCTCATCTTCTGCTCTCGAGCCATCTGGCAGAGTCCGCAAGGTGCACAGCAGCTCATAACAATCCAGTCATCACAGATAGAGCCCTGAGAAAAGAAGTCATTTACATATAATATATATTTATAAAGCTGTTGTACAAACATATCAAGAAAACCAACAGTCTAAGCATAATATACCTAACTTCTGAGATCAAAGATGGGACACAAAATGGGACACGTACACCTATGAGCCTAAACTTTATGACCACTCACACAGTAAGCGAATAACGTGGATTATCTCGTAACTGTGGTTAAGGTCAAGGTCTGGAATATATTAGATGGTAAGCGAACACTTGATGCAGATGAAATGGGCGGGTGTAAAGACCTAAGCGGTTTTGATGACTGGATCAGAGCATCTCCAAAGCAGCAAGGCTTGTGGGGTGCTCCTGGTCAGCAGTCTTGAGTGGTCCAAAGAAGGACAAACTTTGAACAGGTGACAGGTTGTTGGTCACCCTGTGTGCAAAGGCAATGAAGGCTATCCTGTCTGGTCAGAGCCAACAGAGGGGCTACTGTGGCACAAGTCAGAAGTTTTTAATGATGGTCACGGGAAGAAATGTGTCACAACACACTCCTGCTGCGAATGGGGCTGCATAGTCGCAGACCACTCAGATGACCCAAGATAACCCATGTCCACTGTCAGGAGCTCCTGCATTGAAAACACAAGTTTCGGAAATGGACCTTGAAGCAATGGAAGACAGTCGACTGGGCCAGTGAGTCCTGTTCTCTTTTACATCACGGGGATGGTTGGGCACATGTGCGCTGTTTATCTGGAGAAGTGATGGCACCAGGATGCACTGTGGTAAGAAGACAAGCCACTAGGGGAATGTTCGGCTGGGAAACTCTGGGTCCAATCATTCATGTGGACTTTAATTTGGCACATGCAACCTACCTAAACATTGGTGCAGACCAGGTACACCCATTCATGGCAGTCGTGTTCCATGATAAATGTGGCCTCTTTCTGCAGAATAGTGCATCCTGCCACATGGCACACATTGCTCGGGAATGGTTTGAGGAGCATGACGAAGTTCAAGGTGTTGCCCTGGCTTCCAAATTCCTAAATCCACGGCAGCTCCACCTCTCAACTTACAGCACTTAAAGGATCTGCTGCTCATTTCTGGTCCAGATACCACAGGGCACCCTCAGAGGTCTTGTAGAGTCCATGCCTTGGTGGATCGGAACCATTTTGTCAGCATGCAGATGACCAACAGCATATAAGACAGGTGATCATAATGTTTCGGTACCAACTGAAGAGTTTGTTCAGGATCAATGACAGGTTCTGAATTTGACGTAGGCCTGTTGTCACTCTCTTCTTTAGAATCTGACCAAACATGATGCTGATCAAATTTTATCTTATAGAAGTCATTTGATGCACAGGTTCTCAAACTTTTTCACTTTAATGTCCACCCATTTATCACCCATTTACGAAGACCCACATGAAAACAGAAATACTTTTTTGCTTTAAAACTTCATTTATGGGAAATTTTACAAAGCAGTGTTAGGGTACCATAATTTGTGAACCTGAAGGCCGACATTTGCTTGTTTTACAGCTGACATCCAGTGGAATGGTGGCAAATTAAGTGATAATTTCATTTGCGAGTGAACGATTGAAATGTCAGGGCAGTGTATTTTGTTTCTGGAGAAACAAGACAAAAAATAGATAAAGCTGCTTTGTGCGCCACTGTTGCATGGCTTGTATTAACATTGTTTATCATGTGAAAACATTTCATATTTCTTTCTCATTATTAAATGGATTATTTTTTACTGATGTTTGTGACTAAGTGCCCTCACCAGCCTATTACGGACCACTGGCTCCTCTTCAGTATAGGCCTGGGGACCACCAGAGGGTGCTTATGGTCTGTGGGCCAGTAGTTGAGAAACCCTGATCTGATGATTTTGTTTTTGTACCAAGCTTTTTGGACTAAGCTAAGACATATAACTTCATGTCTGCAGATTAGTATGTGAAAAGCGGCGACCTCACTCATCACGTAGCTATAGTTTTAACAAATAGTTAGATATAAGTCAGTCATACACTTTTTAACTATCTGATATATACGAAGTGAGCAGGATTAAAAATATTCAATATACTGCGCACGTTATTGTGTTCTGTGATTTTTGTCATTTGGCACAGCAAAACCGTAATTCAATATAGAACACTTGTTTTTTATTACTCCTGATTTCAGTTCTGATGTATAATTCATTTATACTGACCCTGAATATAAAAAAAAACAAATTAAATACATATAAAAGCAACTAAAAAGAACCCTTTGGCCAATTTTATGTCATTCACACATATGAACTTTTAAAGCATATTTAGAGACAGTAACTGCAAACTTACATTGATGAGGAATTTGTCCCGGAGGCTGGTTCTCAGAGCAACCAGGGCTCCAGGCAGGAATGGCAGGCAGCAGGACTCCCCATGGTCCTGTGCAACCTTACAACCCAGGATACATGGGATAAACGTCCCACAGAGACCTGTGGAGCACAGAAGCAGCCACACAATCACAATTATTCTCTTAGGGCAGGACTAGTGTCCTTGATAAGGGTGGGCTAAGGTGACCATGATGTTTGTCATATTTACAAAACTAAACATGCACTACGTGCCAAAAGTCTCCAGATGTTCTTTCTATAAGTGGACCCAGCTTTTTTAAGGTACTCCTTTTGGAGTGATGAAGCTGATTTAAAGACCTTCAGGGTGAGCCGGAGGATTAGAACTATACTAAACCATTTTGGGTTGAGTTGGCGTAATGAAGCTATGCTCAACACCTCTGGGATATGCTGAAGTGATAAAGTTTTACTGAATACCTTTAGAATGAATTGGAGAGATTAAGTTTTATTGAACGCCTTTGGGATGAGTTGGAGAGATTAAGCTCTATTGACCACCTTTGAGATGAGTTGAAGAGACAGCTCTATTGAATGCCTTTGGGATGAGTTGAAGAGACTGAGCTCTTTTGAACACTTTTGGGATGAGTTGTAGAGATTAAGCTCTATTGAACACCTTTGGGATAAATCTGAGGGATTTAGCTCTATTGACCACCGTTGAGATGAGTTGGAGAGACTAAGCTCTATTGAACGCCTTTGGGATGAGTTAAAGAGATTATGCTCTATTGAACACCTTTGGGATAAATTGGAGAGATTAAGCTCTACTGAACATCTTTGGGTTAAATTGGAGAGATTAAGCTCTACTGAACATCTTTGGGATAGATTGGAGAGATTAAGATCTACTGAACATCTTTGGGTTAAATTGGAGAGATTAAGCTCCACTGAACATCTTTGGGATAAATTGGAGAGATTAAGCTCTACTGAACATCTTTGGGATAAATTGGAGAGATTAAGCTCTATTCAACATCTTTGTGATAAATTGGAGAGATTAAGCTCTACTGAACATCTTTGGGATAAATTGGAGAGATTAAGCTCTACTGAACATCTTTGGGATAGATTGGAGAGATTAAGATCTACTGAACATCTTTGGGTTAAATTGGAGAGATTAAGCTCCACTGAACATCTTTGGGATAAATTGGAGAGATTAAGCTCTATTGAACACCTTTGGGATAAATTGGAGAGATTAAGCTCTACTGAACATCTTTGTGATAAATTGGAGAGATTAAGCTCTACTGAACATCTTTGGGATAAATTGGAGAGATTAAGCTCTATTCAACATCTTTGTGATAAATTGGAGAGATTAAGCTCTACTGAACATCTTTGGGATAAATTGGTGAGATTAAGCTCTACTACTGAGTCTTTCACACACACACACTTACAGATGCCGCAGTCGTCACAGCAGTCGCAGAGGTTGGAGCTCCAGTCAGAGGAGCCGGTGGTGACCGTGTAATTGGTGATTGTCACCTGCGGTTGAGTGTTGATCACCTCTGCCTGATACGCCATCATTGCTGCAAAAACATGAAAACTGGCTTATACAGGACAAGTTAGGGAACAAGGTGGCTACTGAACTGTATCAATTTGGCATGTTAGGTTCTCTAAAAGTGATTATACAGTTCTGACGGCACAGTCTGATTGGCGGACGACTGTGTTATTCCACTTTTCTACTTTACATTCAAAAAACAGAAATTGAATACTTTAGACGATGATCATTTGACCTGCAGCCCATTTGGTCAGATTTTAAAAAAGAAAGTGACCGCAAGACCGCATCAAATTCTGAACCTGCCATTGCTCCTACGCAAGCTTTTTGGTTGACAGCTGTGAAGGAGCAACAATACTAACTGGAATATTCAAACTGAAAACAAGATGAGTTGTGAAATACTTTACAGACGGACTGGAACAAACTGTATTCAGGTTAATATGGCACATATTAAAAAAGCTGAGCTGAACCTGATTTTATGGCTCTATCTGTATCACTAAAGGATACCGTTTTTTGTGGTGGAAGGATTTGCCACTAATAAAGTGCATTTGCACAATGCTAGCACAGTGTTTGGACTTCTTTGCTTTTAGTTTGCCAAATTATTGCATAAAAGTATCCCAGCTGTAATGCTCAACACACAAGCCCCTTTAGTTTCTATTACTTAATCAAAATAATTTTTACACATTTTAAATAAAGCAAAATTTGATTTTTATTTTATTTTTTTAATATTTTTTATATTCAACTGTTGAGTAAATAGTAATAACATTGAATTGTTTCCTAAACTGTCATTAAGAATGGTCAAGGTTGAGGTCAGAGAATTACCCCAAATGGTACTTATTGCTGGATTTCAAAGCCATTTCTTTATTTTAATATTCACTTCAGTGGCTAATGTACAGGCCAATGCAGGGGTGCTCAATCCTGGTCCAGGAGATCTACCACCCTATCGAATTCAGATCTAACCCACCTGGCTCCAATGTACAGATACCTCTGACGGCCTTCATTACCTGGACCAGGTGTTTTTAATGAGGGTTGGTGCACCTAACGATGATACCTATTACCAGTTATCCCACCCCCTTGATTTATCAATTGTCTTCAAAACGTAAGCTGAAATACTTCATGTGTAATATGATGCTCAGTCTTACCTGCTGTGTCTTTGGGTGACTCTCAGGCCGTAGATCTCAGTGAGTGAGTGAGGGCGCTCAGAGTCAGCACGGCAAACAGGATGGAAAAGAGACTCTTACAGTTTTACCTATAATAATGTCACAGCCCCTTCAGTCTAAAGAGCTGAGAAAGCCTGACCTGCCATAGTGGGCGGCTCGTGTGGCCTGTAAAAAATAAAAGGTGTTTGATTTTGGGGCGAGCTGGATTTCTGCTTTTTACAGACTGTATTTGCACACTCTTATCTACAGCTCATTAAATGGAATCGTGTGTGTGGTGCTGCTAAAAGGTGCCTTTTTGACTGATGCAGCATCTATAGCCTCAGCCACACCTTCAGAAACAAACATCTACTGCATAAAACTGGCCTATATAAAAGGCCAGTTTGTGGCTGCTATGGCAACTATGCTAATGCTGCTTTATTCAAAGGAAAGTTTAAAGAAAAAGTTTCAGTAAAGAATCTAATTTTTCCTGTTTACTCCGAAATGTAGCAAAGACATGTTTGGTGAAGATTGCTTCCTAATACGCTGGAGCTATGACGCTAATGCTAATGCAGTCACTTTTGTGGAGCTAAAGCGCTAACAAGTAATGGGAATTCCAACCAATTTTTCTGCATAATTCAGTGTTTGAGATGTAAACAGAGTCATTCAGAGTGGTCGATTGTGAAATGGTTCAGATCTCTTTACAGTGGTGGTGATAGGAACCAGGGGTCGCCATGACTACAACACAAATATAGACATTTTATTTACTGTCCAGAACCACCAGTGAACCTACACGAGTCTTCTGAGTTTATATGGAATGTTGATGATGGTAAAATGGGATAGGCATTATGGGGTTGGGGGGAGCTACCTTTTTAGCCTTTAGCCTTTTAGCAAACACTGCTTGTCTGGGTAGTTAACCAACTAGTGATAATATCACTGTACTGTACTTTATTAAACCATCAAAAGTCCATATTAGATCACATGTGGCTTAAGTTTACACTGAAGATGCAGTAAAGTGTGCAAAATACCCCCTGGTATTTGGGGGAGTCCCATGTCAGCTGGCTACTCCAGCTGCTAACTCACTCGCCATAGCAGCGCTGGCGCCAGCTTCAATGGCAACAAAATGTTTGGTTTAACCATCTTTTGGGGGTGCTGGAGGGCTCATTGGGCGGAAGGAAGGGAACACTCTTACCACAGTGCTACCCACCAGTACTGCACCTCTAGTTACCTAGAATACCTAGAGGCACTCACTGAGGCAGCTAAACAATACTAAACTGTATTTGAGCACCCGTTTTTCCCTAAAGGACAGCGTAACATTATAATGAGTTTATTTTCAGATTCCAAAAATAGTCAGAATAGTGCTCTGATCTTTGATTATGTAGATTTTGTAATAAGTGGACCAATGGAAATGGTCCAAAATGACTTGGAATAACTAATTTCTCCATTAACGTCCATAAGGATAAGGATGTTTTTTCTTTCTCCTGTAAAGTGACCTTTTTAACACCCTGACCATAATGCATAAAATGATGAAAAATAGATCTGCAAAAGAACCTTGAAGGGCCCATATCAGGGAAAAAAGATTTTTTTGCAATAAAAGAGTTTAATTTAGCATGCAAACACTGTTAACGGTGATGTCACAAAAACCAGTACATTCGCATATATATGCATATATCTGCCTAGTCAATCTACAGCAGTTAAGCCCCGCCCACTATCGCTGATTATTTTCAGCATGTTGAAATAAATTAGGACTGTTTTTAATACATAAAAACATACAAACGTCAAAGAAAATATTAATTACGCGGATAATTTTGCATGTGTGCCTTTTAATAAACTGCAAGTTTGCTTATGTGCACTTTGAACATTGCTGGGAAAAAAAGGTACCAAAACCAAAATGATTCATTCTCCAAAATTGTGCAATAGCCTGTTATTTCCTGCAGTCATATGTCTGCACGTTTGCGGTTTTTTTTTACTTTAAATACAGCTTATTTTGTCATTACATATTCGTTCAGCCAGCATCTGCAGTGGACTGTCCCTTTCTCTTTCAGCTGGTGGCCTGAGGCCCGCTAATATTAAACTGTCTTAGTTTAATATCATTTCAATGTATTATGCTCCTTTTCTTCATAGCAAGCATAAAAAATTGCTAGTAGCGCTGATGTCTCAGTAGCTAGCTTAGCTAAATTTCCCGTTCCACCTTAAATGGTCCAGCAGTTCTGACTCCTGAAGTGCCAGAATGTAACTGCTGCACCATTTAAGGTGAAACAGGAAAATTCAAACAGGAAGCTGGTGAATATCTGACTTCAGCTTCATATCACTGAAGAATTAGGGGTCGGTGATAATAAATAATTGCCCCCCTCTTTGAAGGCATATGATTCCCTAAATGTAACTAAAGCCCAGCAGTGAGGAGCTGAACTTTACCCTCCTCTGCTGTCACTGCAGACTGGCAGGGTCGCCTACAGAGCAGCGCTAGTAGCTGTTAATGCTCTTTATTTGAGGGTCCCATTTCATAGAGGGAGATTTCAACCACTACACCTCGTAACTCAGTTCCAAGGGGCAAGGAGACACTCGAAAACAAGGGGTAGGGGTAAAAATAACAAATGGGATTGGGGCCGAGGATCCTGGTTCAGTAATCCATCCTGATCATGAACGCTTTATGACCATAAACACTTTGAACAGTAACGAATGTGATTTGGATCTCTCTTCAGTCGGTTTAGTGTCGTTGGCTCATTATTCCCTGAATAAATTTATTTTTGATCGTATCATGAAGTATAAACTAAACAAGCCTGAGTGTGCTTTTATTTTATTACATTATATATTTATTATTCATTGATGATTGTTTGTAAATGATTATGTAATTGTGCTGGAGTTGCTGTAGTGTTATTAATACACCATAAACACATCATGTGGTTCTTGTAAAGCATTATCTCACTCTTTTGAGCTCCAGCTTTGGAAACTTGTTTTTTCACTTCCTTTTTTTTGACCTTCTCCTTCCTTATGTAACTGAAATATCTTATATTCTTATATATCAGAATTATTGGCTGAAAATATACTATACTTAAAGGGTAATTCCACTGATTTTTCAAAATGTCCATATAATAATTTGTTCAGATCATTCAGAGTGGTTTGATGTGAAATGATCCGTTCTAGAGAGTCAGAGTCAGAACTGTTCACAGTGGTGGTGATAGGAACCAGACGTCCACCTCTAAAAGCTCCCTCACAGAAAGTTACTACATGAAATGGTAATGAATTCACCGCCTGATGTCTGAGACACTGTTTTATGACAGTTTTGGCCTAAAAATGCTGTAAAATGTCATTTTTAAATCCATTTCTTTTGAAGAGCTACATGCAGGGCATTCTAAGTCTATTCTCACTGTCCCTAAAGAAAACTTATTTTTCAGATTTCTCATTATTTTACCATCATCAACATTCCATATAAACATGCAGAAGACTCGTGTAGGTTCACTGATGGTTTTGGATGGTAAATAAAATAGCTATGTTTGTGTTGTAGACATTGTGACCCCTGGTTCCCATCACCACCACTGTAAAGAAATCAAAGTTGGTAAGTTTCTCTACAGTGAACCATTTCACATCAAACCACTCTGCATGACTTTGTTGACATCTTACAATGTAATTTTACAGACATTTTGAAACATTAGTGGAATTCCCGTTTTATGGGCATATTATCTGGAAATGTAACCACTGAAGGGCACGGTTCTCTATTACTTCATCAAATGTGGGGTTGGTGTATTTTTTCCGCTGAGAATGTGACTGAAACTGTGTTAAAGAAAAAAAAGAAGCGTGCTTATCAGTGAAGAGATTATGTGGAAGTGTTTGACTGCAGTGTTTGCTCAGTAGGGCTCGGCTCTGATTGGTACCCAGCCCTCTAACTCTGCTTTCTCAATGCCACTCAGGTGAACACATTGTGCTTTCTGAATACAGTACAGTACAATGGACCTCCAACCTCTAAAGTAAACGTCAGAAGACCTGAACTCCTCCGTATTCCTCAGACCTCATACAGAAAATGCTAAAGCTCTAATAATAGAGGGTGTGAAATATGTTTGTCTTTGCATTGACGCAAAAGCATTCTCCGCTTTCCCTCCAGGAGACAATACACAGTAGAGAGCGGGGCACGGCTGTGGTTTTTGCTAAAAGAATTTTAGCAAGATTAATCACTTTTTTAACATAAGCAAGCAAAACATATGCATAACAAATAAAAACTTAAACTTGTTTTGATCATCTACCAATTATGAACAATTTAGCTAGAGTGCAAACCTTAAAACTTACCCTGTAGGCCAAGTTAACTGTTGCAGACTTAATTCATTCAGCACAATTATATGTTATAATTTTAAATACATCAAAATGTGTAGAATTAGTCAAACTTTATTTTTGACTGGCAAATTTATTTTATCAAAAAAATTGATTGAATATTCCGTTTTGTCACTACCGAAACAATCATAACGCTACTGAAACTGTTCGGTATTGAAAATTTTAGAAACATTTAGAAAAAAAAATTGAAGTGTTATTTTCCCAAGTGTAAATTTAGGGGTTGGGATTTGGGACAGACACCTACACCTTGGGAAAGTACCCTACAAATGATGGTTTTGTATATATTTAGATTATTACTATCTCAATTAATGCATTGGGTTTAAATATATCATAACATAATCTGTGTAAATCTCTAAGGTCTGAATCCTGCTTTGTTTGTTTATTTATTTATTTATTTATTTATTTATTGAGGAAGTGTAGTTTAAACAAATTAAGTAGAATGCTACATGAAATATATAATACATTTAGAATTTATATGAGGGACATATGGACATCTCTCATTGTTTACTTGGGTATTTTTTGTTGTAACACAGTGTTAAAACTACCTCCGCCATGTGGAGGATGTACTTTAGCCTGAGTAGCTTTCAACATTTCGGGTGTCGATAAAGAGTTTTTTACTAAAGCTGAATGGAAAAAAGATTTATCATCATTCCTAAAATAATACAGACAATTTCTGTTTCCACAGCCTACACCACCAAACTTTTTAAAAATGTTTAAATTTTTGTAAAAAAAATTCTTCAGTTGGAAACGTAGCTACTGTGATTTCTTTACATGCTTCAAGATTGTGCCATATTGCAGTTACAGTTGTTTGTGTACCCCTGGTCAAATGACATGTTTTTGTTGACTTTCTAATTTAAATAAGTTAAC